CACCTGTGTCGGCAAATGAGGGGTACAACAGAAGAAATTTGCGCGGTATTCGAGCGGATTAAACTTTAAAAGCTTTTGCCAGTTTTGATAAATCCGCCAGCTGACGGCAACATCTAGGGCTATAGACAGAAGGGACGGGATGTGCAGAAAGCACGCGGGGAAAAGCGAGGAAGAATATTTGTAAGAAGTGGCTGGAAGGTGACTTTTGAGTCGACCCAAAAGGCACGCGGGGAAATGCGAGGAAGAATATTTGTAAGAAGTGCTGGAAGCAAGTGGGTTCACATTGTAGACACACGTCAAGTCTGGAATTTCGCGAAGTTGGAACACGTGATAAAGGAGAGACCCTGGATGTGCCTATGACTCGACCGCATATCGCGACGCGGTGGCGACCCGTCACTACTACCACTCCAGCACTTGCAGCTACGAAACCATGAACGTGCGTGAAGGCGCCAGTAATTCAAGAGCTACAAAATTGACTTACTTGGATTCGTTAGGTTGAGGCAGTCGACGAGACCGTCGGCGACACCAACTACGGCCACGAAAATTATTACTAGTGTAGAACGAAAAGCAATCGTGGCACAGAGAGGACAAGCGGCCCCTGAGTGAACGCGCACGCTGCGGCGAGAAATGCGTCCGGGATTCATCTTCTTATTACTTTGTAGGTGGGAATGCATCAAGAGTAGACTATCACTATCCGATGGCTTTATCTGAAAGAGGCATCGGCGCTCTCGAGAGAATCCTGGACTAACACGTTCCATTAGGAATTAGCAGCCGAGACGAGCTTCTTGGGAGCGACTGCTTTGCGGGAGGGTTTTAGTTTTTTCTGCCCGTCGGTCAGGTCGACGGTGGTCGACGGAGCGTCAACCACCGTCGGACCCCGTTGGGTTGAGACATATGGTGTGGGTATCTCACATTTGTTCGAACGAGGTGACTTGCGTACAGTAATAAAATGGTCACTCTGGGTGTAAGAATAATGGGGTGGGGAAAGGTATTCAGCGGTAAATGACAATCTCACCCACTAATGAGGGTTGCGTGATGTGATTTTATGTCACCAGCATGCTAAATCCGAGCACTGTAGCCTATGTTTGGGCAGGTGAAGGGTCGAGAGAAAGACGATGTAGTGTACATATACACATGATGCTCAACCTCTGCACGCAAATTTTCCCTTGACCGGGTGGAAAGCCTGCACCCGAGTTTTTTACAAGCCAGTTACAGCTACGTTACAAACACCTCGCGTCACTCCGAGCTGGCGAGGCCCCTTTCGGGCGGGCGGGTGGGCTGGCTCCCGCCCCTCGCGTGCCCCGCCACGCGACAGAGGGAAAACGAAAATCCCAGGAAAACCCGCAGGGGCGAACGGGTTTTCCCGGAGGGATTCGGCCGACGTCTTCACACATGATGCTCAACCTCTGCACGTAAATTTTCCCTTGACTGGGTGGAAAGCCTGCACCCGAGTTTTTTTCAAGCCAGTTACAGCTACGTTACAAACACCTCGCGCAATTTCTGTGCTTCTGAATCAATAGTAACAAAGGAACCGAGGTCAAACTGAAGAGACCGAAGTCAAAATGTCAACGAATAAGTTACATTTTATATCATCTCTGACAAACCCTTTTTTTCCAGCTGCGAATTGACGAAAACATAACGATATGAAAGAATCTCGTAAGCGCATTCTTGACAAATCAAAAGCAGGTGACTCGAACAGTAATCAGGTGTATCTCAACAAACAACTGCCCGAGGCCAAAAAAAAATGTACGTTTAGACCCCACGTACAGTACAGTAGGCAATGTGTGGAAAGGTCAACCAAGTACAGTACCTAAAGTCAACGGAATACAGTACATTTTTGTTGCACGGCACCACCCTTTCGAGCCGCGTGATTCTGCAGATTTTCACATATGATTTTTGGGACGTGCGCGGGTTGGTTGGAAATACACCCGCATTCCGCTAGATACTCACAGCATCGCCCGTCATTTGAGAGTTTAGTGAGAAATATTTATCTCGCCTGCTCGCCAACGTTCGCCACGGGCAAAATCGGGACTGTAGTGGCAAGATGAAGAAATGTAAACAGTTTCTTCAAAGTATCTCGCGAACGGACGGATCCAGCGTGATAAGCTGTATGTTTAACGGCTGCGATCAAAAAAGGGGCTTGTATCGTGCGTGCAACTGGCTGGTACCAGATGCAATTGAGCAGGCTGTCGAAATAATCCAGACCAAATTTGCTTGCAACAGCTGAGCATCCTGTGTATCAAATCCACAGGCTCAAAGGCAACAAATACCAGCTCTGTTCACCCTCTGCGGTTCGCTTGGTTTCCTTACGGTTTCTTGCGCAATATCGCTTTGGAATGCAATTTATCGATACAAATAGTTATTTCTGTATGCCAAACAACCTCCTCTGAAGCTTCTAATAAATCTTCCTTCACAACCCTGCGCACAGCTAGTGTAAGGGCGCGCTGCACTTCTATTTTTTTTATTCGAAAATGCTGAAGAAGATCGATCCAAATCCGAAATTATGGTGAAGTTCGGGTTACTGTGCATTTGGCGTTTAATCAATTGAATTTTGTCTTGACTGAATAGTGTTACTGTTCGAGAAGTACACCACGCTCGTGTTTTGCATGCGAACTTGAACGCCACAGCGCCCCGGGCAAACGATACTGCAGAATTCCTAGTCAAATGCTCAAACTTGACAGGGAAGTGCACCACCCCAAAGGTGAACTCCAGTTGCGAAAAAAACGAAACACTAGCGACGGTAACATAATAGTTACGATGCCTAGACGAAACGATATGCTTGGCTATGCGACGTCTACAGTGTACGTGCGACCTCATTTCGGTCGCACGGTCGGTAGGAGTCCAGGTTCCCAAAAAAACTAGTATTGGTGCACATGGCAAAGGGTGCCGATATTCTGTGTTTTTGTATGTTTGTTACGAATAGCAATGAATGAAGATTACAATGCACTCCCGACCGCAGATAAAGAAGCATGCAGTATCGAGAACGAATGTGAAGAGTCAGAGTTGACTCGAAACGCCAGACGGTTGAGATGCATCTGGACCGTCGGAGCAGATGGCATCGGGCAGCTGCACGCAGGAGGATTTTGGCGGGAACAGTTTCGTAACTGTACGCGCCAGACGGTTGGGAATGAATAAGGGAATGCACCCCTTAGAGCACATGGCTAGCTAGGACGATTCGAATTCCCGTATACTTCTTATTTATATCGTTGTACTTGCATGTTTTTATCATCTCAAGCATTTTACATTCACTCTGCTATTGAGATCAAGGGCCCACCACCACTAGACTAGAAGTGTGCGAACCTTCCTGAGGTGAGATCCTGATTACGATCATCCATTGATCGCAGCATGGTATGAGAGCTACTCAGAAATCCTTCGCACTGCTACTCCTGAAAATTACGACATTCGGAAAGTGGCGTCCGGCACACGCTCGCGTGTAAGAATTGCCGGAGGATCTGGCGATCAGATCAATCTGACGGCTGAAGCGCAACCCAACCCGGCTGCGACAAGCGAGGAAACGACAACGATTGGCACGGAAGTCCTCGCACAACTTCTTCAGCGACTCACCAGCTTGGAGCAAGGGCTCCAAACATTGCGGAATGGCGATGCGGGAACTTCATCCCAACCCACTCAACCGGCCTCCAACAACCAAAACTCCGCCCCGCAAGGCTTCTCTCTTGACACAAATGGCTCAACTCCCAAGACTCCCTGTCCCAGCAATGAAGCAATTCTCTCCGCGCAATCAAGGTTTCTGAGCATATCAAAAATAAAGACACGTGTGTGCTTTGACGGCAGAGACTTCTATACTTGGAGCTTCGAGCTGGAGCTGCTGCTGCAAAACGCGCAGATCTTTCACAACTTCGACGGGAGCTACTCGGGACCTACGGAGGACACTGATGACGCACGAACCAAGTACTACAACGAATCTCTGATGGCGTACGGGGTTCTTCTGCGGAATATGTCGCCGACGGAGCAATTGAGCATTCGCTCATACAAAACCTCGTCTGCTCCAGCCCTGAACGCCTGGCGTCACATGAACGGTGTGTATCAACCAAAGGATTCAGTGTCGTCGAGCCGCCTACTCCAGCAGTTACTGGAGACAAAGATGGCACCAGGAGAGAAGGCCAATAGTTACCTGAATCGCTGTCGGAGCTTACACGATCAAATCGCGAAACTTGGGAGCACAATCTCTGAGGAGATCTTCGTGGACATCGTGCTCCAAGGGCTCGGCCCAGAGTGGCGGCCTTGCAAGGCGCTATCGCGGCACGAAGATGCTGCGCTGGCAGGGCATTCCAGCCCCTTCTCGATGGTTCGGGTGAAATGCAGCTGCCTGCCAGCGCATGAAAGCCTGATTGGGCCGCAAGGCAACTTTCACGTCAGCGCTGGCAGGTGCGCTGCTCGTGGACGGGATTTGTGCGGTTGGGAATCGAAGCGCAGCAGTTTTCGGCGGGATTACATGCATTATCCCACGCGCACGTTACTCAATTGTGTTCGCCTTATTGCGGGCTTCGATATAACAAATTCATTTTTGCCATGATATAAGCGCCGGCGCTTATGGCCGTTATTCAATTACAAGCGTCACCCCTAAAAAAATGATTTTATTATAGGCGCATATGCGCCTATATCCGGGGTAATACGGTAGATGCCGTGCTCCGCAAGCTTCTTCATTCCGTCAATTTCACGTTTTGGCGACTGTAGATAAGTCGCTTGCATTTCGCTCATAGTACAGACCCGTCAGGCTCTCTCAAAAATTTCCGGAATTTCTAATCTTGTTACTTCAAACAATTTCCATCGCGAGAGCAGCATTAGCTGGCGATTCACTGGACCGTTACGCAGTCCAGGCATAAACAGGGTCGCTCAGACGACACCTCTCGTAATATCTGAGCTCCAGCATCTTAGTCGAAGAATTCGTGGAAATGGATCGGGCAAGCCGGGAAGACGGCACAGATCCGTCAGCGAATTTCGTCGACGGGATTCGCGAAAGGCTAGGCGAAGTTAGCGAAATGGAATTGGCGGAACCGACCGAACCGGACGATGGGGAAGCCGCAAGGGTCCGGGGAGTGGCGGAAGAGGCGCGAGAGGCGGCGCAAGAGGTGGCGGAAGAGGCGCGAGAGGAGCGAGAGTTGGCGCGCGAGTTGCGAGAGTTGGCGCGAGAGGCGGAAGAGGAGCGGGAATTGGCGGGAGAGGAGCGCGAGTTGGAGCGAGAGGAGCGAGAGGTGGAGCGAGAGGAGCGAGAGTTGGAGCGAGAGGAGCGAGAGGTGGCGCGAGAGGTGCGAGAGTTGGAGCGAGAGGTGCGAGAGAGGCGAGAGTCGGTGCGAGAGGCGCGAGAGAGGCGAGAGGCGGTGCGAGAGGCGCTAGCGGCGGTTACAGAAGGCGGTGCTCGACCGACACAGGAGGTGGTGAATCTGATGATCTACCGTGCCGTGAACCCCGTGAACGAGGATGATGATGATGATGACTCGTCGTTGGACGACCATGGCGATAGTGGCGATGACAGTGAGGAGGAGGAGGACGAGGAGGCTAATAACGAGGATATGGAGGCGATGGAAGCGAGGGCTGCGAGGGATGCGAGGGATGCGGAGATGGCGGAGGAAGGGGAGATTGTTATGACTGACGAAGGTGATATGCTCGACGACGATACAGACGACGATGATATTGACGAGGATGATGATGATGATGATGTCTCGGACGACGATAGCGAGAATGATTATAACGAGTTCGAGGACCCGCACTATAACGAGCAAAGGAGATCGGTGCTGAGGGTCGCGTCCGCGATAGCAGCAGGTCCGCTAGACGACTGGAGGGCGGTGAAGGGCGCGCAGGTGCACGAAGAGGCCAAGTATCTCGTAGATAACGCCTGCTCCACATACCGCCTGCCCTCAGGGGTGTGCCACCACCAGTAAGCCCCTGACCCCATTTGATTTTTAAGCCATATTTAAAAATTCACCAAGGGCGCACAGGTGCACGAGGAGGCCAAGTACCTGGTGGATGGCGCCTGCTCCACATACCACCTGCCCTCGGGGGTGTGCCACCACCAGTTAGCCCCTCAACCCATGTGATTTTCGAGTCAAGTTATATATTCACCCAGGCGCGCAGGTGCACGAGGAGGCCAAGTATCTGGTGGATAACGCCTGCTCCACGTACCGCCTGCCGTCAGGGGTGTGCCACCACCAGTAAGCTCGCCTCCACCAGTAAGCCCCTGAACCCCTGTGATTTTCGAGTCAAGTTATATATTCACCCAGGCATGCAGCGAAAGTGCACGAGGAGGCCAAGTACCTGGTGGATAACGCCTGCTCCACATACCGCCTGCCGGGGGTGTGCCACCACCAGTAAGCCCCTCAACCCATGTGCTTTTGTGAGTCAAATTGGAAATTCACCAAGACGCGCAGCGCAGGTGCACAAGGAGGCAAAGTACCTGGTGGATAACGCCTTCTCCACATACCGCCTGCCCTCGGGGGTGTGCCACCACCAGTAAGCCCTGAACCCCTGTGTTTTTGCGAGTCAAATTGGAAATTTACAAAGGCGCGCAGCGAAAGTGCATGAGGAGGCCTCCTGTTGGATAACGCCTTCTCCACATACCGCCTGGCCTCAGGGGTGTGCCACCACCAGTAAGCCTCTCAACCCATGTGATTTTCGAGTCAAGTTATATATTCACCAAGGCGCGCAGGTGAGGGGGGACAGAATGGTAGTAGGAGAGGGGAGGGGGGGAGATGTTAATGTAGTAAGGAGCTCGTTTTAAGGGGTGGCGATCAGACCCGACGGTAGAATCGTGGTGACCATAATTTTTTATACACTAAAGAAAAAGAGTTATTACGGGGGGACATCTCATAACACTGAAGTTTGCGGCGGTGTGGTCGTTCTTTACGCGGATTTTGCATTTGCGGCCACCTCGGGGGGGAAGAGGCGCGAAATGTTTACATGAGAAAAGAGAAGAGAGGCAAGCCCTTTTTTTACCGAGGAGGATTTTGATTTCATACGGTTTCCTCTTTTTTCGCATGTATGAAATCAACATCCTCCTCGGTAAAAAACGGGCTCGCCTTTCTCTTCTTTTTTCTCATGTAAACATTTCGCGCCTCCCCCTCCCGAGGTGGCCGCAAATGCAAAATCCGTGTAAGGAACGACCACACCGCCGCAACCTCCAGTGTTATGAGCTGTTTCCCGTAATAACTCTTTTTTCTTTGGTGTATAAAAAATAATGGTCACCACGATTCTACCGTCGGGTCTGATCGCCACCCCTTGGAACGAGCTCCTTACCACAGTAACTTCTCCCCCCTCCCCTCTCCTGCCACCATTCTGTCCCTCCTCACCTGTTGCCTTAACCCGCGCCCTGGTGCCCCTTTTGAGTCGTCTCAAAGCCACCCCTTTCACCCGCCCCCCATCACCCCTGCCTGCCATGCTCCAGGTGCTGCGACACTCTCGTGGCTGGCCCTGGCCCGGTAGCCTCCACTTGTGCCACAGCAGCAGGCTCTGTGTGTCGCATTCCGTTCGCATTCCGTTCGGATTCCCTTCACCTGCTTCCGTTCCCCGTGCCCCTCTGCTCCAGGTGCTGCGATACTCTCGTGGCTGGCCCCGGCCCTGTAGCCACCACTCGTGCAGCAGAGAGCAGACTCTGCGTGTCACATCTGTTTCATCCGTTCTAAGCCCCTTCACCCGCCCCCCCATCGCCCCCCGCCGTGTACCTTCAGGTGCTGCGACACTCTCGTGGCCGGCCCTGGCCCGGTAGCCTCCACTTGTGCCGCAGAGAGCTCTGCATCAGGATCAGCACCAGCATCAGCATCATTCCCGCAACAACCTCCTCTCCTATCACCACCACACTCCCGCTCCTCCCCTTCCTCCTCCCCATCCTCCTCCTCCGCTGGCCCCCCACCGCCCCCGCCGTTCTTCCAAGAGGTGATATGCACGGTGCAGCGCATGGTGACGCTCTACAGCACGGCGCGGCGGGAGGTGGTGGCCGTGACATCGCTGCCCTCGGAGCCTTACAGTGTTGACAGATTTGGCGATGTGGTGGTGGCAGGGTGCTATGGCACCGTGTGCCTCTACCTCATCCGTCGGGAGCTGGTCAAGAAGACAGGTGCGTCTGTGTCCGCACTGGGCCAAGTGGCGGTGACGTCTCTCCCCTCGGAGCCATACAGCGTTGACAGATTCGGAGATGTGGTGGTTGCGGGGTGCTATGGCACCGTGTGCCTCTACCTCATTCGCAGGGAGGTCGTAAAGAAGACAGGTACGTGGGTCCAAAGACAGGAAGACAGGTGGGTCCGTTCAGTGGCTTGAATGCGTGTTCTTGTGGCACTGTGTGCTCACTGTGGTGGCAGGGTGCTATGGCACTGTCTACCTCTACCTCATTCGCCCGGAGGTGGTCAGAAAGACAGGTGGGTTATGTGTGGTGAGGAAGACAGGTGGGTTATGTGTGGTGAGGAAGACAGGTGGGTTATGTGTGGTGAGGAAGACAGGTGGGTTATGTGTGGTGAGGAAGACAGGTGGGTTATGTGTGGTGAGGAAGACAGGTGGGTTATGTGTGGTGAGGAAGACAGGTGGGTTATGTGTGGTGAGGAAGACAGGTGGGTTATGTGTGGTGAGGAAGACAGGTGGGTTATGTGTGGTGAGGAAGACAGGTGGGTTATGTGTGGTGAGGAAGACAGGTGGGTAATGTGTGGTCATGTGAATCCGACCGCCTGCCTGCCACATAATTGCGGGGCGTTATGCGACCATCTGCCTCTACCTACCTCCTCTGCTGTCCACCAACAGGCATTTACTGGGGCACCTCACAACCTACTCAGTAGCCTTCATTCTCCCTCCCGCCCTCCATCCCTCCCTCCCTCCCTCATTTCCTCCCTCCCTCTCTCCCTCGCTCCCTCCATCCATACCTCCCTCCCTCTTTCCCTCCCACGCTCATTCTCTCCCTCCCTCTCTCCCTCCCCCCTTCTTCCCCCCCACAGCTGGTTGGACCAAGGACGGCGCTCCAGAGCTCACCACCGCATCCCACCCCGCCCACCACCATCACCACCACTACCAACCACAGCAGCAACAGAGAGGGGTCAAGGGCGCAGCAGGGGCAGCAGCGGCAGAGGAGGAGGAGGAGGAGAGGGTGTGGTTTGAGGCGGCAGGGATGGTGGGGGGGTTTGAGAGCAGTCTGATCGGCTCCTCTATGTGCAACTCTGTGCGGTTCGGCACCGTTGGCAACTGGGTGCGTGTACAGTGGGTGTGGGCCTAGCGGTGGGAAGAGGGAAAGGGAGGCCCTTTTCACCAATTGTTTTTCTGACATGCTTTTTATACGGTTGCAAGAATGTCTGCCTTTGCGTTTCTATGCCATTCCCTTTTTGTGCTATAATCTTCAGCAATTCTAGCCCTTGTTCCCACCCCCCTTCCCCCCCCCTGTCTGATCCATCAACAGGTGCGCATGCTATTTTTTCACAGAGTTCCTTGCCCTTACTGATTACCCCCTTCCCTCCCCCCTCCCCCCCTCCCTCTGTCCCCTTCCTTATCAGGTGCGCATGCTAGTGACCACGGCTACCTCTACCTCTTCACACTGCTACGAACATTCTTGAAATTCTCAGTTTTGTCCCTCGGTCCCCCTCCTTATTCATCCTGTGGTTGATGCTTCAACAGGTGCGCATGCTAGTGGCCCATCAGAACGGTTATCTCTACCTCTTCACGCTGCCACCGCCCTTCCAGCCAGCCACAGCTCGCCACGTGGGCCGGTCCGATTGGGTTTGTGGCGCGCAGAGCCTCGAGGATGCTCGGCAGATGGCCCTGGAGGCTCGGTGCCGAACCTCCCAAGAAGGTTTGGGAAGCGGCGAGGCTGCGAAGGACGAAGGGGAAGGAACGCGGCATGCGATTGTTACTGCTGCTACTGCTACAGCCTCTGCGACTGCCTCCGCTGCTCCTGCAGCTGCTGCTACAGCTGCTGCGACTGCTTATGGAGGGGACAATGCAGGGTTGGATCTGAGCGTGAGTGCAGAGGGGAGTGAAGGCAGAGCAGCTTCAGCCACGGCTGCCACAGCCGCTGCCACGGCTTATGGTGGGGGAAGTGCAGGGTTGGATCTGAGCATGGGTGCGGAGGGGAGCGAAGGCAGAGCAGCTTCAGCCACGGCTGCTGCAGTGGCGTCGGCAGCAGCAGCAGCAGCGGTGCCGGCACATTACCCTGCGGGGTCGGTGCCTCTGAGTGTGAAGCTCAACCTAAGAGACCTCACCACCGTTGACATGCCGTAAGTAGGGAGACAGGCAGTGAGTGTGCGTGGGCATGCTGTGAGTAGGGAGACAGGCAGTGAGTGTGCGTGGGCATGCTGTGAGTAGGGAGACAGGCAGTGAGTGTGAGTCAGCATGCTGTGAGTAGGTATGCTGTGAGTTGTGAGTTACTTAAGAGCTCCTGTTGTGAGTGGGCATATCCTGTTGTGAGTGGGCATATCCTGTTGTGAGTGGGCATATCCTGTTGTGAGTGGGCATATCCTGTTGTGAGTGGGCATATCCTGTTGTGAGTGGGCATATCCTGTTGTGAGTGGGCATATCCTGTTGTGAGTGGGCATATCCTGTTGTGAGTGGGCATATCCTGTTGTGAGTGGGCATATCCTGTTGTGAGTGGGCATATCCTGTTGTGAGTGGGCATATCCTGTTGTGAGTGGGCATATCCTGTTGTCTATCGCCCCTTGTCCTTGCTACATCATTTCTTGACCCTAAGCCCTCCCCATGCCTCCCAACCCCCGAGCACATCAGCGCTGGCGACCATACGCTCGGCCCCGGCAGGAGGGCTGGTGCGCACCTTTGCTCGTCTCGTGAATGCCATCGGCCCCTTCCCCACGGCTCCATTTCCCTTGATGCATCATTCCCCTCTGGCCTCCACCCCCCCCCGTTCCCTCTCAAGTTCTCCCAACCCCCCTCCATTTTTTCCTCAGTACATCAGCGCCAGTGACCATCCGATCAGCCCCAGCAGGAGGGCTGATCGGATGTGCTCGCCTCGTCAACGCCATCGGTCCCTTCCTCCTGTCCTTGCCATATCATTCCCCTGTTTGCCTGCACATCCCTCCCAATCCCTTCCAACCGCTCCCAACCTTCCCCAGCACATCGGCGCCGGTAACAATTTGCTCGGCCCCAGCAGGTGGGTTGGTGCGCCACCTCTGCTCGCCTCGTCAACGAAATCGGCCCCTTCCCCACCATGGTCCCAGCAGGAGGGTTGGTGCGCACATCGGCTCGCCTCGTCAACGCTATTGCCCCCTTCCCCACCATGGTCCCAGCAGGAGGGTTGGTGCGCACATCGGCTCGCCTCGTCAACGCTATTGCCCCCTTTTTCCACCATGGTCCCAGCAGGAGGGTTGGTGCGCACATCGGCTCGCCTCGTCAACGCGATTGCCCCCTTCCCCACCATGGTCCCAGCAGGAGGGTTGGTGCGCACATCGGCTCGCCTCGTCAATGCTATTGCCCCCTTCCCCACCATGGCGCCGTGATCTTGCCATATCATTCCACTCTTTGCTTGCACATCCCTCCCAACCCCCCAGCACATCGGCGCCAGTGACCATCCGCTCGGCCCCAGCAGGAGGGTTGGTGTGCACATCGGCTCGCCTCGTCAACGCTATTGCCCCCTTCCCCACCATGGCGCCGTGATCTTGCCATATCATTCCACTCTTTGCTTGCACATCCCTCCCAACCCCCCAGCACATCGGCGCCAGTGACCATCCGCTCGGCCCCAGCAGGAGGGTTGGTGCGCACATCGGCGCGCCTCGTCAACGCCATCGGCCCCTTCCCCATGCCGCTCAACTTCGCCCTCGTCTCGCCCAACGGGGAGTGGATTGCAGTTGTCGGGGACCTCGCTGCTGTAAGTGCCCCAACCCCTCCCTTTCTTGAGGCACCTAGAGAGTAACACTATGCCCCTTCCCCATGCCGCTCAACTTCGCCCTCGTCTCGCCCAACGGGGAGTGGATCGCCGTTATCGGGGACCTTGCTGCTGTGAGTGCTCCTCATCTTTTGAGTCGCCTCGCCTTGCCTCAAACCACAGATTCTTAGTCGCAGCACGCTTTTCCCCGCGTCCCATGCCCTCCCTCCCCTTACCTGTGTCTTACCCTCCTGTTGCCGTGCTGCCTTGTTCTCTTTCTCCTCTTCCATGCCTGTTCCCTCAAACTCTTGACCCCCCATGCTTCACTTCACTCCACACCCACCTCCCAATCTCTTGAAGCCACAGTGCTCCCGCCCCATCCCCTTTCACCACGTCGGTCCACTCCACTGGACCCCACGATTTGCTTCAGCATGAATAAGAGTCAGTTTGTGAGGGGCTGCAAAAACCTCTTGAAGCCCTCTTGATTTTTTCTGAAAATTCTTGAAACTTCTTTTAAATTTCTTGAAACTTCTTTTAGTTTTCTTGAAATTTCTTTTAAATTTCTTGAAACCTCTTGAACCTTCCCCCCCCCCCCCCCCCCCACCCCCCCCCCTCCTCCCTCTGCAGGTGTGTGTGCTGGATCGGGCATCTGGGTTCAGAGTGAGTGGGATGGCCAGCAGGCGGATTCCATTGGCCTCTATAGGCGCCGCCCACGGATGCCAGGTCAGCTTATAACGAGTGCACTCATAAGACTTTTTTTTTTTTTTTTTTTTTTTTTTGCACTTCGTGTATTAATGCATTCTCTCCCGTTCACTCACTCGCCCTCTATCTCCTCCTCACCCAACATTTGAACGCTTTCTTTCTCCCTTACCATACCAGTACCTGGCTTGGAACCCTTCATCCTCGTTACTAGCAGTCTCCAGCGACACACTTGAAGCCGTGTACCTGTGGGGCGTGTCTCGTACCTCCCAACCTCGTGCATCCGAGGCAGCAGCAGAACCATCACCATTAAAAGCCCGACCTTTCACCAGAGCCTCAGCAGCAGCAGCCGCAGCCGCAGCCGCACAGCAGTTACCATCAGCAGCAACAGCAACAGCAGGATCAGCAGCAGTACCATCAGCAGCTTCAGCAGAAGCGCCAGCAGCGCCAGCAGTGCAGTTGACCCCGCTAGTGAAGCTGGAGCAGGCATTCCAGTCTCCCCCGCTCGCACTGCAATTTGACTGCTTCAACCCGCACCTTCTGCTGGTTGTAGAGCGGTGCAGAGCGGTGCACGCTGTGGACGTGCGAGCGCCCCATGCCAGGCAGCAGATCCAAGTGGTGAGCACCCTTTTTCTCCTCCTCCTATCACTCCCTTCCTCTTACCTCTTACTCCTCTTGTTATGAGGCGTTTTTCTAGTTGAATAAAAAATCGCCTCATTACAAGTAGTGAGCACCCTCTTTCTCCTCCTCCTTTCTCTCCTCCTCCTTTCTCTCCCCGTCCTTCCCCTCCTCCATTCTCTCCCCCTCTCTCCTCCTCTCTGTCCTCTTTCGTCTCTCACCATCACTCCTCTCTCCTTCTCCCGCCTCTCTCGTCGTGTCTCTCGTATGTAGCACCGCCAACCGTCATCGGAAGCAGAGGAGCAGAGGGAGGACGCAAGGGAGGATGGCCGCTGGGTAGTTGCTTTGGAGGGTCTCCCCACCACCGCTGTGCCTCATGCTGCTACTGCCGCTGCTGCTCGTGCTGCCGATGATGCTGATGCTGCCACTGCCGCTGCTGCTCGTGCTGCTAATGCTGCTGATGCTGCTACTGCCGCCGCTGCTCGTGCTGCTGCTGGTGGTGCTGGTGCTGCTCCTGCTGCTGGCGGCACTCGTGCTGCTGCTGGTGCTGCTGCCGCCGCTGCTGGGGCTGCAGCCGCCGTCGTTGGGGCTGTTTCCGCTGCTACGGGTGCCGCTCGTGCTGTTGATGGTGCTGGCCGTGCTGCTGGGGCTGCTGTGGCTGCTCGTGCGACAGTGGGGGGAGTGGTGGGGGGCATGGTGGATGCAGCACAGGACCAGCTGAGGCGCCGGTTGCAGCAGCTGGAGCAGCTGTTGCAGCGCCGCAACCAGCCACCTGTCAGTGACGTGGTGGGGCTCGCGGCTTACCATCACCCAGGGGTGCTCGTGTCGACAGAAACCACCGTCTTCCAGGTGAGCGTGAGCGTTGATGGGGTGCGTTGAGCGAGCATGTCCTGAGTGGGATGCAGTGCAACCAGCCGCCTGTCAGCGACGTGGTGGGGCTCGCAGCTTACCATCACCCAGGGGTGCTTGTCTCCACCGAAACCACCGTCTTCCAGGTGAGCAGAGCTGACGTGCCTCATAAGTAAGGTGGTTTTCAGGCAGGTGAGGTTCTGGTGGTTCGACAGTTGCAGCAGTTGGAGCAGCTGCTGCAGCGGCGCAACCTGCCGCCTGTCAGTGACGTGTAGAAAGTAGATTTTTGAGACGTCTCAAAAGTATATTTTTGAGACGTCTCAAAAATCTACTTTCTACACGTGGCCGCCTGTCAGCGAGGTGGTGGGGCTCGCGGCTTACCATCACCCAGGGGTGCTCGTGTCGACAGAAACCACCGTCTTCCAGGTGAGGTGTGTCCCAGGTGAGGTGTCTTCTAGATGAGGTGTGTCTTGTAAGTAAAGCTCCTTCCCACCGCCTTGTAAAGGGTTTTATTGACTGGATTCATCTCTCCACCTTTACACACATCCCCCCTATCCTCCCCCCCTCCCCTCCATGGAACCCCTTTCCTGCAGTATCCCTGCATGGGAGCCCGGTCACCTGCCTCTCACCCTCGTGTGAATCGTTTTTCCAACCAAATCTTCCTCTCTTCCTTTACCCTTTACACCTCCCCTCCCCTCCCCACATGGGACCGCACTCACTGCAGTATCCCCGCATGGGAGCCTGGTCACCTGCCTCTCACCGCCTCTATCCCAAGCGTTTCAAGGTGGGTGTGGTTCGTGCTATGATGGTGATTGTGCCTGTCATTCAGGTTGATGCTCATGCAGCCTGTCTTGTGTGCACGTTCAGCGTGATTCTGTCCCCATTCGTCTGTTCTTTGATCCCATTCGTCTGTTCTTTGATCCCATTCGTCTGTTCTTTGATCCCGTTCGTCTGTTCTTTGATCCCGTTCGTCTGTTCTTTGATCCCATTCGTCTGTTCTTTGATCCCATTCGTCTGTTCTTTGATCCCATTCGTCTGTTCTTTGATCCCATTCGTCTGTTCTTTGATCCATTCGTCTGTTCTTTGATCCCATTCGTCTGTTCTTTGATCCCATTTGTCTGTTCTTTGATCCCATTCGTCTGTTCTTTGATCCCATTCGCCTGTTCTTTGATCCCATTCGTCTGTTCTTTGATCCCATTCGTCTGTTCTTTGATCCCATTCGTCTGTTCTTTGATCCCATTCGCCAGTCCACGCTTTCCCATTCGTGCATCAAAGCAACTTATTGTTCTTTCCCGTGTGCACACCTCTCCACCCATCTGCACTCCTCGTCAACCAACTTGGACCGCAGGAGGTGGTACGGCTGCTGTTGATGGGACACTACGCTACTGGGCAGTGGGATTACAGTGTTGCTGCTGACAGCCACAGCAGCCAGGCGCAGTCTGACAGCAGGTGAGAGTGCATGTTTGCTTGTATGAGTGGGGGTGGTACGGGTGTTGGTTTTTGAGGCCTGGGAGGTGGTATGCCTGTTGCTGTTGCTGGGCCGGACATCACTCCACTGGGCAGTGGCAGTGGGATTGCAGTGCCGCTGACAGCCACAGCAGCCAGGCACAGCCCAACAACAGGTGACTGTGCTTCTTTGCTCAGATCTGTGAAAATGAAAGGTCCTTCAGCCAGGTACGGTATCATCAGTCTTGCTTCAGCAATAGTTTGTGCTGCGTTGATTGCTCTGCTGTAGTTCAATGTTGCTACTTTCGTGTGTTCCTCCTTTCCCTGTTTCCAATTGTGTATGCTTCCCTGGTTCAGGTACCTATGGCTGCTTCCCCTGGAAGTATTGCTTCAGATAATTGGACATGCAGCTACACCACTTTGTATGTGGATTAGTGATGCGTAAACCACATTTCTAGAAAGTCTATTTGTGTATTGGGTTCTCGCTGTTCCACTAGCTCAGGTACCGTATCACCCCGGTTAGAAGCGCAGGCCTATTATAAGCGCATGCGCTTCCATCTGGAGCAATGCGCTTATGGCCGATCCTCAATTATAAGCGCACCCCCTGTGAAAACGTTACTTATTATAAGCGCATGTACAATTTTAAATTCAAATTTCTGTTCGAAACGGTAGCTAGTTTCAAATTTGAAGCGAGTACAATCTCATTTTCGCTGAGTTTGACTCTCGAAGACCTGATTGGCTGCGCGTCCAGTCAGGATGTGCTGGCATGACTGCCAAGTGTCGCATCTTGGCCCCTATGTGCTGGAAGAGAACCGCTTGCAGGAGATTCTGCATTGTGACGCGAAAATTTTCGACTCGGTTGAAATGGCAAGAGTGAAACATACAATTTGGTGTCTTAAATTTATAAATTCGTATATGTCATTATATAAGCGCATGCACTTATAAAAATGACTCAATTAGAAGTGCACCCCCCTAAAAAACTCTGCTTTATTATAAGCGCAGGTGCGCTTCTATCCGGGGTAATACGGTATGCACAGTAGGTCCAACAGGATTAATGTACAAGGTGAGTTGCAATATGTTAGAATTTAAGCTGTCTGAATAGGATCGTAGTCTTAGGATAGTAGCTTCCTGTAGCAGTGGAAGTCTTATATGAGTGACTTGTAACAGGATTAATATCTCTGAAATCAAGTATATTAAGAAATGACAAACATACAGAATATATACTAGGATAAAGTACCTATTCACCTAATGTACCTATTAGCCTGAAACGGTACGTGACTAATCGCGATACCTACAGCTACTGCTGACGTCATCCTAGAGTGCGTAGCGCTTTGCTGACGTCAGCCTATCGGTACTTTTACTGTACTAACTACACTACACGAATTCCTTGAAGTGCACAAGTCTCGATATTATCTCAACACTCCCCTTCACTTCTAGGAGTTCGGTGTAGTCACCCTGTTGACTCGGAAATGCCACTGAGCTGGTTGCAGTGATGAAATTTCTGACGTGTCAGCTTCTTAGTAAGCGAATCAACGGCCATGTCGCTGGTGGGGCAGTAAACAAGGCGCATTCTCCCCTTATCGATCGCGTCTTTTACGAAGAAGTAACGCAGCGAAATGTGCTTCGTGCGATTGACGAAACCAGGCTTGTTGGCGATGGTAATTGCACTCTGGTTGTCGCACTGCAACGTGAACTGATTCGGCGTGACGAATTTTGCTTCGTCAAGCAACTCCTGCAGGTACAGACCTTCGCGAGTTGCAGCACAGGCGGCGATGAATTCTGCTTCAGCTGATGAAAGTGACACGAGTTCCTGTTTCGAGGAATTCCAGGAGATCGGACCAATCGGCTCGAGACGAAAAATATAACCCGTGCGTGACCGTCGATCTGACGTGTCGCCAGCGTGGTCCGCGTCAACGTACCCGCTGAGGTACATTTTGTCGGTCGGCTTCCCAGCGTTGAAAATCAACCCGATTGTTGGTGTAGAGACGAAGTAGCGTAGCGCACGCTGTAAGTCGAGAGAGTGTTCTTCTTTCGGGCAGCGTAGAAACTGCGCAAGGTGACTTGCGACGTAGGCAAGATCAGGGCGACATGTGACTGCTGCGAAAAGGAGACATCCCAGCTGCTGCTGATACAGTTGAAGACCAGCTGCTGACAGATTTTTCAGGTTGGGGACGTGCCCGGTGAGTGTAGACCGATAAGGTGTAGCAACAAAGTCCGTGGAGATGTTGAAACGCTTAGCGAGTGACTCCGCATACTTCGAAGCCGTGAGATGAATAGCGGAAGAAGTTCGCGAAACGTTTAACCCCAGAAATTGAGTTACTTTGGTGGAAATGGTTAAGTCAAGCGATTTCTTCAGATCGGCTTCGATACGATCACCCAGCGAAGTCGACGAACTGACGTAGAGGATGTCGTCCACGTAAGCCACTAACAACGCATAGCTCCCCTTGTCGTCTAGCCGGTACATCCCGGGATCGTGCGGCAGTTGTCGAAATCCAACCTCTGTCAGCTTCCTGCTCAAATGCTGCTGCCACAGTCGCGGTGCTTGTTTGATTCCGTACAGTGACTTTTTGAGCTTGCAGACACTCGGCGGATTTGTCGGATAGGTGTGCGGATATTCGACGTAGATTTCGGCATCGACGTCGGCGTACAGAAAAGCGTTGGAAACATCGATTTGTCGAAGTGGAAAATTCTTCGCGGCTGCTTCGCAGAGAACGAGTCGAACACTCGTATGTCGACTGACCGGGGCGAAGGTAAGCGTGTAGTCGATCCCATGAGTCTGATCAAAACCGCGAACCACCCACCGTGCCTTGTGTTTCTTGTAAGTACCATCCGCTTTCGTCTTCACCCTGAAGACCCACTTACCGGTAAGAACATTTTTGTTTACCGTTTTTTCAATGGGTATAAGATCCCAAGTTCCCCTTTTCTCCAGGGCAGCCAGTTCGCGATCCATCGCTTCACGCCATTTTTTGCGATGAGGCCCTGAGAGAGCTTGTCGGGCAGTTTTCGGCTCCAAATTCACTGTAGAACTGTGCTGTACCGCTGCTGCGAGTCCCAGAATTTGCAGTCCGGTCTGATAATGCGGATTATCGTCGGTGCGACCTGCGAAATTGACAGAATCATTCTGGTCTCCACTTGCCCCCCCAATTTCGTCAGGGTTGACACGGATGCTGCTATCGGAAACCACCGGCATTGGTTGGCGCTGTTCATCCACGAGGTAAGTATGATGAACATCGCGAACATCCTCAGGTGCCGCGTCAGCAAGAGGAATAAACTCTGGAATTCCGGAAGACGTGACAGGGACAGGTGGGTCGGGAGCAGCTTCACGTGCACCGTCGGGGTCAGGTTCTTCGTTGGCAGCAAGTTCGGCGTCGGCGCTAGCGAACGAACGAACACCGTGGAAAAGCGTGGCAGGGTTTTGCTGCGTGGCAAGATGCTGTTCGAAGACGGGCAGCGTCAGATTCTCGTAGAAAATACAGTCGCGAGCAGGAACAAGGAGACGACTGCGGTAATCCATGATACGCCAGGCAAGATATTGTTTTTCAATGCCGAGATGCAGCCCCCACTTAGCACGCTGATCGAACTTCCCGAGCGGAGCGGTAGGAGGACGGTACTGAACAACACACCCGAAAACACGAAGTAATTTAGTGGTACCCAACTTGCCCGTCCACAGCAAGTAGGGTGAGGCGTTGTTGGGCAGGGCCGAGGACGAAAGAAGATTGTGCAACACCGTTGCATGGTCCATGGCGAAAGGCCAGTAGAGTGGGCCGAGTTGAGCCTGGGCAAGAAGGGCTCGCATTTTCTCTTGCAGAGTTCTGTTGAGCCGCTCAGCTACGCCACTCTGCTGATGAGCGTGAGGCAACGAAAAAAATCGTCTTATCCCACGTTCTTGCAGGTAGGTCGTGAACTCGTTACTGCGATACTCGCTGGCGCCGTCACACTGAAACGCCTTTAGCTTAGTATCAGACTCTCGTTCGGCGAGAGGAAGCCAGGTGCGGAAAGCTGTAAACGCAAGAAAACGGTTAGTCATGTTTCCAGTCCAAACGTAACGAGTAGAAGCTTCTGTAAATGTGATAACGTAGCGCTCGCCGTTGAAACCATCCGCAGGTAAGTTGAGTATATCGCTGTAAACCTTATCCATCAGGTGATAATCTTCAGCTCCAGGGAAATGAGTCGGGAACGGTTCGTGCGGTAGGTTCGCCGCAGGGCAGATGGTGCAGGGTGCCGGGCGATTCACCGGCTTCAGTTCGAGACCGCTCGGTAAGAGTAACGAATTCTTGTCAAGCACTACAGCCTTGATCGTGTTGTTTAGCGTAGACTGCGACGGATGACCAAGTCGCTTATGCCATGTTTCTCCCATGGCTTTGTGACCTTGTGCGCGCAGGTAATACTCGGCGTTAGCGAAGAACGACAACAGAAGCTGATGACCATCGGAGCGGATCTGATCGAAAGCAGGTGCGACGTAACGAGTAAGATTTGGTGGTGGAACACGAACCTCAACATCCACGTACTCGCCTGGAGCAAGTACTAACTCGCCGCTTTCTTGATCGGATGCTGCAGGTACAGGTTCAACTCCAACGAGACGACCCGAGTCAAGAATCTCCATATCAGCGACGCGTTGCTCAGCTTCAGCGAGAAGACGATCATTGCGTTCAGCAGGTGTCTTGCCCCAAGTTGTTTCATCGGGTTCGTCAGCCCCCCAGATGCCGTCATCAGTCGGCATGTTCGTCGGATCAACCCAACCTTCAACAGCAGCCATGTACTCCCGGGAGGACTGAACATCATTCAAACCTTGATCGTCGAAGGTCAACATGACGGCGGCAGCCGTGGTTGAAGACGTCGGGACAACTCCCTCACGTGGAACTGTATCGTCGGTGTAATCAATGTCGTCGCGATGCTCCCAAGGACCAAGCGAGAGAATGTTATCAGAGTCGGCAGTAGTGCGCTCAGGTATGAAGTTCAAAACGAAAACACCGTTTTGCTCAACTGCCGTGCCGAGTTTCTTGTCGCCGTACTTCAGAGTGAATTTCCCAGGTTCACCGAGAAGTGTAATCCCGTTCTTCATGAGCTGTGCAGATGACATGAGGTTGAAGCCAAGCCGAGGGACCAGAAGAACTTCGTTCAGGTGAAGACTGAAGTCTTCTTCAACTGAGTCCAGAACGATACTTCCCATCCAGTGAGCTGTAAGCCGTTGGTTATTGGCGACTGTGACGACAACGGGATTCTGCAGACGGCGTTGATTCACAATGAAACGAGTCTCTGACGAACACATGTGCTGACCGCAGCAACTGTCGAGGTACCAAGTATTGGGACCTGCAATAGTATGTGCAAGATTTGCATAGACCTCAGGTGGAATCGGTGTGTTGAGTTCGTTGTTGAACCGGTTGTGAATCCGCTCTTCAGCATCAGGATCATAAACCGTTGAAACTGATGTCATGCAGGTAATAACTTGCTTTGACTGTGTCTTCGCAGGGTCCGGCTTCGCAGAATTCAGCTTCGCAGCGTCCGGCTTCTCAGCTTCACTTGAAGAATCTTTGGTGTGTTTCGATGCAGACCGCTTCCAAGATGGTTTGTCTTTCGACCAGCAGGTATCAATAGTGTGTCCTGTTTTTCGACAAAAGGAACAAACGGGCTTGTGACGTGGATTAGAGTAAAAGCTGACTGTATTGTTTACCACCTTTTTCCCTCCTCGAGCATTGTGCAGGTCCATATCCTGCTGCTCGGCGATGAGAGCGGCACAGAGTGCCCCCTCGGACAACTGTGCTTGCATCCGAAGTATAGAGCGACACTGTCGCCATTCTGGTCCAAGACCCGCGAGTAGCACCGTGTGGAACATAGCGTCAGGGAAGTATCCGCCACACTTCTGAAGTTGATCGCGCAGATTTCGAGCGCGGTTGATATACTGCGTCACCTTCTCGCCGTTTATCATCTGTATATTTGACAGCTGCGTCAAAATTTTACTCTGGTTGACAGTGTCCTTTGCCATGTGAACCCCTTGCAGGTACAACCAAGCTGCTTCAGCAGGAGCGGCACTGGTACGAAAAGAACGAATTCCGAGCTGTTCAGTCGGTGTCAGATTACGAACGAGAACTGTGTATGCAGTCAGCGACGCCGATCGAAAAGAGGCTTGTTGAAGTGGTGACCCGTGAGATGGAAAGGGTGCTGTGCCGTCATACAGCTGCCAGAACCCCGCGGTCTGAACAAGAAGCTCAAACTCAAAGCTCCAGGTATAAAAGTCTTGACCGTTAAAAGGCATTGTCGTTTTGATTTTCGTTGGATTTGCAGAAGCAGGAATATGATTTCCGGTCCCGTCAGCTGATTGTAGCTGATAAAGTGATGGCACTTGTGACCCTTGTAGTGTTTGTTGTCCTTGTCCAGCAGGACCAAAGAAGAAGGAGTTGTTCGACCCATCACTTCCTTGTGGCATCTGACCACGCTGATAACTGGAGCCATCAATGCTCATAGGAGTTGGAAACATCTGGTTAAGTGACAAGACGGCAGCATTAACACGTTGTTGAAGATTTGCTGGCTGGTAAGCACCTTGATATTGATAAGGTCCAGTCGGTACGAAATTGGACTGTTGTCCCGGTTGACGAGAAGAACCAGTGACTGCAGCTGCAGCTGTTGTGGCTGCTGATGCTGCTGTTGCGGCGGCTGCTGTCGATGATGCCGCTGCTGTAGTTGTGTGTACGGGCTGATTGCTCAATGGCATGCCGTACATCGGTTGTTGCTGATATTGTTGCAGATTAGAATTATCAGCAGCTGGAGACGCTGTTGGGCGTGATGGGCTCGTGACAGAAGAGCCATTGTTGGACCTTGGAGATCCAGACATAGTTGTAGAGTAGGCAGGTGGAAGCTGTTATAATCCTAAGTGGCTCTCATACCATGTTAGAATTTAAGCTGTCTGAATAGGATCGTAGTCTTAGGATAGTAGCTTCCTGTAGCAGTGGAAGTCTTATATGAGTGACTTGTCACAGGATTAATATCTCTGAAATCAAGTATATTAAGAAATGACAAACATACAGAATATATACTAGGATAAAGTACCTACCGTATTCTCCCGGACAAAACACCCCCCCATAATTGTACACCCCCGGGTAGCTTGTGCGGGGTGGGTGTTATGGGGAGCCTCGTTTCTACTATACCCCCCTTTTGGGCTGATTTTCTATAACACCCCCATTTTCTTACGAATTCGTTATAATAGTCGTTAACGAGTAGCTGCAATATTGAAGAATATCACGAAAATTTCTCCCTAGATGAAATTTCGCGGTACATTCACTTACAATCTACCGAGATTTCCCCCCTCGCACTACTTCGCTGTGACCACGTGCAGGCGAATCTTCCGCTGCAAGTGGCAAGAGAGGTGCCACATGGCATTTTCGTGGGGGTGATGAAGCTCGTGGCCGAAACCCACATTCGCACCTCAGACAGTGATGTTAAAATGAAAATCAAAACACCCACATTGTCTAATTAAATAAACACTAACACTAAAATATACCATATGCAAAGACCCGGGTATTATGTATTTTTTTCCTATGAGGAGACCCCCCCCATTTTTTCCCTGTATTTTTAGCTATACCCTAGGGTGCTATGTCCGGGAGAATACGGTATTCACCTAATGTACCTATTAGCCTGAAACGGTACGTGACTATTCGCGATACCTACAGCTACTGCTGACGTCATCCTAGAGTGCGTAGCGCTTTGCTGACGTCATCCTATCGGTACTTTTACTGTACTAACTACACTACACGAATTCCTTGAAGTGCACAAGTCTCGATATTATCTCAACACAATAAAGCATTGTTTTTGTGACACGCTCATTCTGCAAGTACCTACCGGTGGGGTTCCAGGAAATCCACATGCATGTGAGATGAAACGACCACATATAACTGAGACTTTAACCGTACCAGACCTACCAAAAGGCACAGCGTCAGCGCACCAGAAAATCATAGACTTCAGCTATAGCTCCTCGTGCCACAACCAGCCACCGCCAGTTGCTATCTGCAATCACAAAGTCGCTACTGTCCCGGTCATTATCGTCACCACCATTATCATAATCATTACTCCCATTGCTGTCGATAAATTCATCACCACCTCTGCGTGCACTGCCACTGCCCAGACCACGACCATCATCATCACCAGTAGAAGCAGCAGCGACGGCGGCGTCGGCTGCGGCAGAAGAAGCAGCGGCAGAAGCAGAGGTAGCTGAATGGGGGTGCAAGAGTGGAAGGCAAGGCAGATACACCAACCTCTGGTGGGATTGCTGTGACATAGGGGAAGCAGATGAAATTGCGCCAGATGAAACGCCGTTGGATGTAAGGCGGTGGGATGAAACTGTGTGGTCAGGCCACTGGGTGCCAGTCCAGAGGGCAACGGCTCCATCGGCTCGCAGCACGATAGAGGTGGCAGAATATGGGGTAACGAAGGGCTGCTGAGAGTCCAGGTGAAGTATCTCCGTGAATCGGGGCTGGCCCTGCAGGAGTGGGTGGGTAGTGGGGACAGGGGAGGGGTTAGGGAACGATGTGGGAGTGCAAGCACGCAGCGGTGGCAGAGGAGCGGGTGACAGGGCTGCTGGGAGGCCAGGTGGAGTAGCTGGGTAAATGGGAGATGAACCTGGAAAATGGGAGATGAACCTGGAAAATGGGAGATGAACCTGGAAAATGGGTTTGCAGGGGGGAACGGATCAATGTGAGAGCATAGGGGAAGGAGGATGGGTGCTGCGAGGCAACGTGAGAAAAAGACTGTGCTTGGAGGTCGCACCTGGATGGAGGAGGGCGCATCTGGGGGGGGAAGGGGCGCACCTGTTGGGGGGATGGCGCACTTGTTGGGGGGAGGGCGCACCTGTTGGGGGGAGGGCGCACCTGTTGGGGGGAGGGCGCACCTGTTGGGGGGAGGGCGCACCTGTTGAGGGGAGGGCGCACCTGTTGGGGGGAGGGCGCACCTGTTGGGGGGAGGGCGCACCTGTTGAGGGGAGGGCGCACCTGTTGAGGGGAGGGCGCACCTGTTGAGGGGAGGGCGCACCTGTTGAGGGAGGGCGAACCTGATGAGGGAGGGCGCACCTGTTGGGGAAAGGGCGCACCTGTTGGGAGGAGGGCGCACCTGTTGGGAGGAGGGCGCACCTGTTGGGGGGAGGGCGCACCTGTTGGGGGGAGGGCGCACCTGTTGAGGGGAGGGCGCACCTGTTGAGGGGAGGGCGCACCTGTTGGGGGGAGGGCGCACCTGTTGAAGGGAGGTCGCACCTGTTGAGAGAGGGCGAACCTGTTGGGGAAAGGGCGCACCTGTTGAGGGGAGGGCGCACCTGGGAGAGTACGGCAGCGACAGCAGAAGCATCCACGTCCCAGAGGCGAGCAAAGACTCCAGGGAAGCCGCCTTGTACGGTCTGTGGGGAGGTGAGAGTGGGGGAGGTGAGAGTGGGGGAGGTGAGCGTGGGGTAGGTGAGAGTTGGGGAGGTGAGAGTGGGGGAGGTGATAGTGGGGGAGGTGAGAGTGGGGGAGGTGCGAGTGGGAGAGGTGAGAGTTGGGGAGGTGAGAGTGGGGGAGGTGAGAGTGGAGGAGGTGAGAGTGGGGGAGGTGCGAGTTGGGGAGGTGAGAGTTGGGGAGGTGAGAGTGGGGGAGGTGATAGTGGGGGAGGTGAGAGTGGGGGAGGTGCGAGTGGGAGAGGTGAGAGTTGGGGAGGTGAGAGTGGGGGAGGTGAGAGTGGGAGAGGTGAGAGTTGGGGAGGTGGGAGTGGGGGAGGTGAGAGTGGGGGAGGTGAGAGTGGGAGAGGTGAGAGTTGGGGAGGTGGGAGTAGGGGAGGTGCAGAAACCAGTAGACATGAACATCATACATGAACAGTAATAATGCATAGAACAGTAGATATGAACATTATATTTGAACGATAGGAGTGTACAGTAGGCACATACAGTGGCGCAAAATATCCGTTCCTTAAGAGAGAATTCCAAAAACCGCTCCCACTCGCTGATGGTTAATGAAATCGACGGCTCTCGGATGCTCCCTCCTCTTCTCTTCACCCCTCTGCCCACGCCCTTCACTCCTCCACTTCCTCCACTTCCTCCACTTCCTCCACTTCCTCCACTTCCTCCACTTCCTCCACTTCCTCCTCCTCCCTGTCCCGCCATGCCTCCCCTCGTTCCACCTTCATCCTCACTCCCTGCCGCCCCTTCCTGTCCTCTCTCCAAGTCATAAACGCGGATTTCCCCAAAATTAGAGCCAATCAGAAGCCGCCAATTGTACCGCTCCGAGTGGCTGAAAGCGACATCAGTAAGAGAATCAAAGTTCCCCAAACGAGGGTAAACGTCTACGAGGGTGTGACTGGAGAGAAGGTGCTGCAAACGAATGATGCAGTGGTGGCGACATGCTCCCATGCCAGATGCCCCTTCTGCCTCTGCCTCATGCAACAAGTCAGCTTCTGCCGAAAGAAATTCCTCCGAGCGCTCTTCCCTAATTGCTACACTGGATGCACCAGCAGCAGCAGCAGCAGCAGCAGCAGCAGCACCACCACCACCACCACCAGCAGCAGCACCAGCAGCAGCAGCAGCAGCATCCGATGTGGCGCCCTGCTGCTGCTCCTGCTCTCTGCGCGCCCACACAGGGATGTTCCCGATGACCACGGAGGTCTCGTGACTAGCAGAGAAGATTGACGCTATGGGGGGGTGAGTGTGAGGCATGGAGGCTGCAATTACACCAGTCCGGGGATCAAAGGCTAAAGCCTGATGGTACACACACTGCAGCCTGCCCTGTGCCGGGGCGTGTGCTGGTGACTGCTTTGACTGCATTGACTGCGTTGACTGGATTGACTTCTGCTGACTAGGTACAGAGAAGCAACCAGCGGAGACAAAGTCCCACAGGCGCATGCTGTATGCGCCAACGCCTGTGCCCCCACTCCGCCCCTCCAGCAGCAAATACCGTGGGCAAGGGCATTCCACCTTTCCCTTGCACACGCGAGGCTCTGTAACAACTCCGCTGGACGGGCAAGGGGATGGCATGAATTCCTTGGAACAAAGGGCGGACATTGTTGCTTCTCTGCCCCTCGCCCCCGCACCCTCCCACCACTCCCGTGGCCCTCTCTCGCCCCTCCTCGGCCTCCACCCCACCTGCTCCCGCTCTCCCTCCTCGCCCTCCCCTCCCTCCCCTCCTTCTCCTCCCTCTCCTCCCTCTGTATCCCCCTCGCCCCTTCCCACTCTCTCCAAGTCCTGCCACAGCTGCTGCTCTCCCATCGACCCTGGCACGAACCAGAGCGAGCAGCAGGGGAGTGCCGAAGGCACGACAGCCATGCGCGTCCCTCCGAATCCTCGGTGCTCAGAAGTGCTTCCCGCTAGCAGTGCCTCACCCGAGCCTTCTTGCACCACTTGGAACCCTGCTGGTACCACTTCCGACCCTGCTGGTACCACTTCCGACTCTGCTTCTCTTACGTTTGGCGGCGCTTGTAACACTTGTGGCGATGAGCTACCCCTCCTGGGCCAGCGAGGCAGGCTCCACACGCACACTGATCCGTCCTCTGATGCACTCGCTACCACCCTCCACCCATCCTCGTTACAAGCACACCGGCCATGCTCGTTACAAGCACCTGCGGTAGCAGCAAGAGAGAGTGGTTCCGATCCCTCTGGGGGATCACCAAGGCTTTGAGAGAGAGTGAGGCAGGTGAGAGGGAGGGGTAAGGGGTGGTGGAGGGAGGCGAGGAGGGAGTGGGATGGGAGGTGCCACACCTGCAGCTGCCCGTGAGACGTGCCCAGGAGGAGAAGCGTGTCTTCCACCTTCATTACTGCGATGAACACACGTTCTGGTGATGGTGCAGATTCTAATGCTGCTGGTGCTGTTGGCGGTGGTGGTGCTGCTGCTGCTGATGCTGCTACTGGTGCTGCCACAGCTTCTGGCATCAAATCTGCTTTTCTCCGTTTCTTCACGTTCCTCCTTGCGTTCCCATTCCCCCCCCACCCCCACGCCTCTCCTCTCCCCCCATGTATCCCCCAAACATCGCACTTCCCCTCTCTCCAATTCCTCCCCACCTCCACTCTCTCTCTAAACCGTCTCTTCCATACACCACACTCACTCACTCCCTCCCCTCCCCCTCCCCCCTCCCCCCTCCCCCTCCCCTTCCCCCTCCCAATCCCCCTCCCACTCCCCCTCCCGCTCCCCCTCCGCGCACGGTTGTTCCGCCCTGCTCCAGTGCGCAGCCCTTTCCCCAAACGTCCGCTCAAACACCTTCCGCCAGAACGCCTCGCCCCCTGCGCCTCCCGCGTCCCGCTCCTCCGCAACCACCGCATCCCGCCAGTCCCTGCGACCGTGGAATCGGCGGAAGACGGGGAAGACCGAGCAGGGGCGCAAGGGGGAATCGGGAGCAGGTGGGGGGAATTGCGCAAGGGGGCCTAGGAGAGGGAGCAAGTGGAGGAAAGTCGAAACGAGGACTGGGAGCGAAGGATAGAGGTAAAAATTGCGCCCCCTGGAAGAATTTGGGGGAAAATCCGCGCGGGGAAGGCGCACCTGCAGGTGAGCATGGCGCATATTATTCCGCCAGGCCCTTCAGCTGGTAAGCGCTGAAATATGTCCAGAAGAACGGTTCGAGGAAGTTTCGCAGCCTGAGGGGACGAAGTGGAATCCCGAATCGCCTCGTCTGCAGGCCCTCCGACGTCCGCCATTTCCGCGCGTTTCAACTAGCGTGCGGGTCGAACCCGCAATCTAGAAACTGAATCAGATTCAATTTGGAACTGGAACAGATGAAATGAACTAGCGTGATGCTTACGGTAGCTCATGTCCGCGATATTGACTTTACCTTCGGCTTTTGTCGTGCTTCAGTAACTCATTCTTCTTTGATTGTACATTCTTACCGTATGCTGTTTAGAGTTTCCAGTTTGGTTCTGTGTGTTGTGTTCCTTCTTTTTCCTCTGTTTTCAGTCATAAATGATTTCCCAATCTAGGTACCACTGTTTTCATTGTAAGTGTTGCTTCAGATAAATGGACATGCAGCTACATCGCTTCCTACGTGGATTGGCGATGGGTGAACGTATTCACTAGAATTACAAGTTGTGGCATGTGTTACCCATGTTAGAGTAGCTCAACTAGGTATGTACAGACAAGATATATGTACAAGGTGGGTTGTGACAAAAACCGATTCTTGAAGGAACCTATTTTGCCAGGAAACCGCATGCATGTACCGTGACGACAGAATCACTTACCGAACTCTTGACAGAACAGAACTCTTCAAGGCCTGAGCTTTAGCCCGCCATGGAATCATACACTTGAGCTGTAGCACCTTGTGCCACAGCCAGCCATCGCCAGTTCCTATCTGCAATCACGCCCTTGCTTCTCTCTCTGTCCCGGTAATAGATTTCACTCTCATCATCGTTATCAGTACTCCCGTCGTCGTCACCATTTTCACCACCACCACTGCTCACACCCCCGCCACCCGTACCGGTACCATTACCAGAAGCAGTGGCTGGGGGAGGATGCAAGAGAAGAGGGCAAGGCAGATACACCAACATGGAACTGAAATGCGCAAGAAGGAGCACGAGCGGGCCAGCGCGAAATGCGCAAGAAGGAGCACGAGCGGGCCAGCGCGAAATGCGCAAGAAGGAGCACGAGCGGGCCAGCGCGAAATGCGCAAGAAGGAGCACGAGCGGGCCAGCGCGAAATGCGCAAGAAGGAGCACGAGCGGGACATCGCCTGCAAGGGCGCACCTGGGGGAGGAGGGCGCACCTGGTGAGAGGAGCAAGGCGCACCTGGGGGAGGAGGGCGCATCTGCTGAGAGGAGCAAGGCGCACCTGGGGGAGGAGGGCGCACCTGCTGAGAGGAGCAAGGCGCACCTGGGGGAGGACAACGGCCTCATCCGAAGCATCCACATCCCAAATGCATGCGAAGATGCCCCTGGGGATGTCATCAAGAGTGTTTGTCATGGTCTGTGGGGATATTGAGGCGGGGGAGGTGGACACAGGGGGAAGTGATGATAGGGAAACTTTTCTCCACAGTTCCAGTTCAAATCTTCTCTCACCACATAATTTGCATGTCTCCTAGCCTAGGTTATGTACCTTTGAGTTAGAAAGGCATGCAACTGTATGAGGGGAAACGTGAACACCACAGGCAACAAAGGCATGAACAATGGATGCGTACAGTGAGGCAGAAGATCCGTTCATTGAGGGAAAAGTGCTGCATTTCCTCCCAATGATCAATTTCCAACAAAAGTGACAGTTGTCCGATGCTATCCTCTCCTCCCTCCCCCCTACCTCCTCCTCCCCCTCCTCCTCCTTCCCCAATTATCCCTTCCCTCCTTCCATCTCCTCCTTCTCCGCCTATCGCTCCTCCTTTCTCCGCCCCTCTTTCTAATTCATAAGCATGGTTCCCTTGCACGGGTGAGGCCCTAGCATGGTTCCCTTGCACGGGTGAGGCCCTAGCATGGTTCCCATGCACGGGAACGGGCACGGGCTTGGCATGAGTGACTTGCAACGGCGGGCCTGAGTTGTTGCTTCTGCACCCCTCGCCCCCCCACCCTCCCACCGCTCTTGTGGCCCCCTCTTGCCCCTCCTCGGCCTCCATACCAGCTGCCCTCCATCCCCCACACCTCCTCGCACTCTCTCCAGGTCCTCCCATAGCTGGCTCTCACCCATCGTTCCCTCCACAAACCAGAGCGAGCAGCAGGGGGGTGCAGCAGGGACGGCAGCAACACAAGTCCCTTCGAATCCTCGGCACTCTCCTACTGGTGGCAGTGAGATATCCCCCCTCCTGGGCCACCTAGGCAAGCTCCACACGCACACTGATCCGTCCTCTGCCGCACTTGCCACTAGCCTCCACCCATCCTCGTTACAAGCACACTGACCGTCCTCGTTACAAGCGCCCGCGGTAGCAGCACGAGAACATGATTCCAGTCCCTCTGGGGGGTCACCCAGGCTCTGACCGAGAGTGAGGGAGGTGAGGGGGCGGGGGAGGGGGTGGTGGAGGGAAGCGAGGAGGGAGTGGGAGGGGAGGTGCCACACATGCAGCTGGCCGTCAGAGGTGCCCAGGAGGAGAAGCGTGTCGTCCACTTTTATCACTGAAATAGTGACAGCTGCTGCTGCTGTTGCTGCCACTGATGTTGGAGGAGGGCATCCTCCAGTCGTTCATGTCAGAAGAATGAACGAGAATGAATGAACTAGCAAAGAGTTGGGTACAAGTACTAACCTTAATTGGGTTGTACCCCTTATGGGCTACCCCACTACAGCCTACACAATGTAAGCTAGATATGAGTTCGACACACCCCCATAGGCAAAGTGGGGGAGAACAAGTGGTCACAAGACCAGTCAAGAAAAGCAAAGCAAGCTCAGGGTGGATCACAAAGTCACCACACATTCCGAGCACAAGCAAATAGCCACAAGGCCAGTTCACATGCAGAGTTATACAAAAGAGAAAAAACAGTACAGTGATCATACCATAGCAATTGTAAGCATGCATGTATTTATATAGATCACAGTACAAGCAAACTCACATAGTGAGCAGGTGAGGCAAAGTAGGCACAAGGCCTAAAACAGTACAGAAACGCCGATGATCACCAGACTGAAGTGCCTTGGTGAATATATCAGCAGTGTTGGCCCGAGTGGCCACGTAAGCAAGACAAAGCTGACCACATTGCTGCAAATCTTGAGCAAGGAAGTAACGCAGAGCGATGTGCTTCGTTCTGTGCTCTAGTCCGTGCTCCTGACACAAGGCAATCATGGCCTTGTTGTCTACGTACAGAACTGGAGAAGAACGAGGCCGCTCTCCCAAGCCGGTCAGCAGGTAGGTGAGCCAACGTAGCTCCTGTGCAGCCATGGCCCCTGCGTAGATCTCAGTCTCACAACTGGAACTGAGAACAGAAGACAAGCGGGTAGACCGCCAAGAAACAGAGCCGGAGCCAAGGCTGAAAGTGTAACCCTGTGACGACCGCTGCGTAGCCAAGTCGTCAACCAAAGAAGCGCCTGCGTGTCCAGTGAGGACAACTGGACCCCGTCCTCCAAGCACGAGCCCCATGCCCGATGTACTGCACAAGTAGCGCAACATTCCTTAGCGGCCTCCCAATGCTCTAGTCGGTGTCTCCTGGGCGAAACGTAGCATGCCAGGATGCTAAGAGGGTAGGCAAGGTTAGGTCGAGTGCAGGTCATCAGGTACATGAGGCAGCCCACAAGCTCTGGATACGGGCCACTCGGCTCTACAGACTCGTCCGAAGGTGGAGCTGAGAGCGAGTGACCGGTAGGCAGAGGAGTGGACAGTGGCGAGGAGTACCGGAAGCCGAAGCGCTAAAGGACCTGGTGCACCATGTGTGACAGAGTCAGGGTGATGGTGCGCCGTGCTCTGTCCCGGGTGATATGCAAGCCAAGATAGCTGCGCAGCTCACCCAGGTCAGTGCAGGTGTGTTTCTTCTGCAGCTTCGACTTCACAAGGGTCAGTGCCTCAGTGTCAGCAGTGGCAAAGACCAAGTCGTCGACGTACACGAGGACGTAGAACGGCGGCAGCGAAGTGTCGGTGCGTAGAAACATCGACGGGTCAGCGGTCGAAGGAGCAAACCCAAGAGCCGCAAGGGTCGTCCTCAGTGTGTCGTGCCACTCGCGAGGCGCCTGGCGGAGACCATAGACTGGCCGCCGGAGGCTCCACTGTGTACCTGCAGGAAATGACCCAGTGAAGCCAGATGGGCGGCACAGCCAGATCTCCTCGTGCAGGCTGCCCTGTAAGAAAGTTGTGCTGAATTCAAGAGAGTGCAGCTCGTAGTCATGCTGAGCGGCGACGTGCACCAGAACCCAAAGAGTGGTCATCTTTGGGGTAGGGGAGAAGGTCTGGAAGAAGTCAACTCCCTGTTGCTGACTGAAGCCTCGTGCAACGTAACGAGCCTTGAAGACGGGCGGAGAACCGGGCGGCCGCTTCACCCTGAAAATCCACATGCCATCGACTATGTTCGTCCCAAAAGGGGGAACTGCGTCGACATAGGTGCCTGTGGACTTCCTGGATGCCATCTTTGCGTCCATGGCTATCTAACACTAAGAGGAGTCGGGACCCGTAATCGCCTCTGCGTAAGAGCACGGGGTCGGGATGTCTGGTGCATCCGGGTCTCCCTCAGGTGCAAGCAGCATGGCCACGAGATGAGGTACAGCAGCAGCAAGACACTCAAAGTCCTCCTGCCTGTCCTCAAGGTCGTCGTGCGAAGAGCACAATCACCCCCGACGGATGGAGGACAGTCAGACCCAGACTCAGCAACAAGACTAGTGGCGTAGTCGAGACGACAGGTGGCAGCAAAGTCAATAAGCTCAGCAACTAGGGCTGACGCAGCAGCGGACTCAAACGAAGAGTCAGTGACAACAGTGGCAAGAAGACGAGGGACAGTAGGACTGGCAGCACGAGCTAAGTAAGACTCAGGGTCAGGAACGTCAGGAAGAGAGGACGGAGGAGGAGACGGCAGGGGAACTCGCAGTGGAACAAAGGAAGGACGAAGTGCCATAACGTGAGTGCAGGGGACAGGAGGAGGACGCGGACGAGGAACAGGACAACCAGTGCGAACAGCGCGAACAGGCGAGGCAGGACGAGACTCAGGCTCACGACGTTCTGTTTGAGAGTCTGTCTTCTCAGCGTAAGGAGAAGGAGCAGGCAGTGGGGATTCTGGCTGTAACAATGGTTGCGACTGGTGAGGCGGTGGACACAGCAAGCTAGGAGTAAGGCCAGTAGAAGACGGGAGACTAAGAACCTAGCGAAGGACCGAGTTAGGTGGCGGCAGAGACGACGGGGCGGCGGAACGAAAAACGGGCGCCGCTGCACAGTGCCTCCAGCACTTGGACCGCTAGCTCCAGCACCCCCAGCGCCAGCACCTCTAGCTCTAGGGTCTCAAGCTCCAGTGCCTCCAGCTCTAGCGCCTCCAGCGCCAGTGCCTCCAGCTCCAGCGCCTCCAGCGCCAGGGTCTCTAGCTCCAGCTCCTCCAGCTCCAGTGCCTCAAGCAATAGTGCCTCCAGCTCCAGAGTCTCCAGCTCCAGCTCCTCCAGCTCCAGCGCCTCCAGCGCTAGTGCCTCCAGCTCCAGAGTCTCCAGCTCCAGCTCCTCCAGCTCCAGCGCCTCCAGCGCTAGTGGCTCCAGCTCCAGAGTCTCCAGCTCCAGCTCCTCCAGCTCCAGCGCCTCCAGCGCTAGTGCCTCCAGCTCCAGAGTCTCCAGCTCGAGTGCCTCTAGCTCCAGCGCCTCCAGCGCCAGTGCCTCTAGCTCCAGCGCCAGGGTCTCCAACTCTAGGGTCTCCAGTTCCAGCGCCTCCAACACCACCAGCTCCGGCAGCTCTAGTACCTCTAGTACGAGCACCTCCAGGACCAGCAGCTCCAGCACCTCCGGTACCTCCAGCTCCAGCAGTAACTCCAGCACCTCCAAGACTAGTAGCTCCAGTACCTCCACCTCCAGTGCCTCCAGCGGCAGAGCCTCCAGCTCCTGCAGTGCCACTCCTAAGGCGTGTGTGCTGAGCAAACCACTTGCGCAGCTGCTGCGGTGAGAGAGGCTCCCGCCGAGGAGACACTCGTGGCGAGGCACCCGCAGGACCTCCGGCAGACGCAGTACCCCTAGGCTCACCACCTCCAGACTCCGCACCCTTAGACTCAGCACCCCTAGGCTCCGCACCCTCAGGCTCCGCACTCGCAGGCTCAACACCCCCACACAAAGTACCCCCAGACGCAGCACCTCTAGCAGCACATGAGGCTACATTGACCTCGACAGGCACAGTCCCGGGGAGTAGACACACCTGAGGGAGAAGGACCCTAAGGGGGGAGGGGGTCTACCGGAGGGGGACCTGGAGCAAGGAAGAGCAGCAAGGGGGGGAGAGGGGCAGTGCGGTAGGTGAAGAGACGGTAAAAGGGAACCGACTCGTCAAACGTGACGTCCTGAGAGGGGAGGACACGGCGCGAGGTTGGATGGTAAAACTGCCAGCCCTTCGCGTCAGGGGGAAAGCCAAGGAAGACGCAGGGAATAGCGCGAGAGGAGAGCTTGTCCGCGGAAGTATCGCGGACAAAGGCACGAGAGCCCCAGACCCGGAACACCGACGCATCGCCAACCTTCCCCGTCCAACGCAGTATAGGTGAGGTATTTGGCAAGGAGACACGGGGCTAGAGATTGAGCTGACCGGACCGCAAACGGCCACAGAAAATGGGGAGCAGCCGCATGGATCATGGAGGTACGAGCGACCTCCATGACTAAGCCAATGCGGCGCTCAGCAACCTCATTTTGCTGCGGGGAGGCTGGAAGCGTGAACGACTGGAGAATGCCCTCCCCACGACAAATATCCCGCAAGAGGTCGGAGGAGAACTCACCACCTCTATCAGAGTGGAGACGCAGCACAGGAAGGTCCTCACGGAACCGCTCGCGGAGCTGGAGACGGACTGCGCAGATCCAAGGGATCAAGACATCAGGGACCTCACCCTTGCTGTGCAAGGGGAAGACCGTGGTGTAACGCGTGTAGTCGTCAACAACCGACAGGAAGTAGCGCTCGCGGCCCTGTCCACTGACGCGGGCTGGGCCCCACACGTCCATGTTGAGAGTGTGCAGGGGAGCAGTCGTCGGGGGAAATGAGGAGGAGTGAGGAGTGGTGCGCTGCCACCCCTCGACGCAAGGAAGGCAGGGCGGGGC